AGGGGGGGGGGACTTTTTCAATTTGTACGAATATTTTTTCAAAATTTTTTGCTTGTGTCGATAATTTTTTAAATATAATCCCTTGCTCGAATTTGTTTTTATTTCAACTTATAATTTTCCCTATTGAAAAGTCTCTGCACGAATTTTTTTTCAAACTTTTTTGGTGCATGAATTTTTTTTCTTTCTGTTTCCCCTGCTCGATTTTTATTTTTGCTCCCCCCCCCCCCCCCCCCCCCAATCACTTTTCTAATGGTTCGCCCCTAAGCTCACTATCATGCCAAACAGAATGACATAACATTAGGCTGAAAAGTAAAATAATAGCATGCATTGCCTGCATTGGTGAAATAAATGTTTGGCTTTTCTGAATTTTCGCGTTACTATAGGACAAGACACATACATGATTTTTTCTGTGTTGGTATAATGTACTCAGGTGAATATGATGCTTGTGATGTTACTCTGAGTGTATATGCACACCGGGCAAGCTTGAAAAATATGCCTGACCACGGTGGGAATCGAACCTACGACCTTTGGAATACTAGCCCAATGTTCTGCCAACTGAGCTACGCCGCGGTCAGGTCGGTTCGAGTATGTGATATTTCGGAACAGAATCTAGTTCCTTCGATATCAATGTAATCTATGCAACATTACACCAACACAGAAAAAATCATGATTATTAGATTACATTGATATCGAAGGAACTAGATTCTGTTCCGAAATATCACATACTCGAACTGACCTGACCGCGTAGCTCAGTTGGCAGGCAGAGCATTGGGCTAGCATTCCAAAGGTCGTAGGTTCGATTCCCACCGTGGACAGGCATCACGTCTGGTACTAACAAGGTCTGCTACCATAAACTCTTGTAACGCGATTTTGTTGTTTGGCACAGCGAAGTCAAGAAAATGTTTTGTGTACTCTCTCTCTTCTTCTATGCTTTTCATAAACAGTTCTAATCGAATATTATACTTTCAATTTATTTGATCATCGGCCAAAATGTTCCGATGCAGAATAAAATTATAATCAGCCACTTGGTGTTTTTGTTCGGCAAATAGCCTATTGCGGACCGTTATAATCCATAATCCATACCTGTTCCATAAACAACCGCTTGGAACAAACTCTATCGTCCGAATTCTAAAAGCTCACACTCAATGAGTGGAAGTTCAATCTAAGCTTCTCTCGAGTGTCATTGCTGTTTTTGAATAACTGGAGGGTTGGTGTCATACCTTACTATGCGAGCCGGCTACTTACTATGTGACTAACTCAGGTTAGCACTATTTTCCATCCAGCAAACCGCCCTATCGATTTTCTAAAGTCGTTTCTTTTTGGATTTTTTTATTATTTCGGTTAAGGTTAGAGTTAGGGTTGCGGTTGGGGTTAGAGTAGGGGTAGGAACTGGGCTAGTTACATAGCCATTTAACACCTCTTCCATCTTCCGAAAATGACGTCAGGTCAGTTTGCTGGATGGAAAATAGTGCTAACCGACTACTCACCCTCCAGCTATTCAAAAACAGCATTGACACTCAAGAGAAGCTCAGATTGAGTGTGAGTGAGCTTTTAGAATACTGGCGTATAACTCTAAGTCATATGTTTTTAGGAATGTGAGTTGAAAAGAGAAAAAACGACACAGAAGTGGGTATTGGAATGTCATCAGAAGAAAAAAGTATGTTTTTAGTTTTAATTTTGGTTTTTTGAGGGTTTTTGCCACACCGGGCAAGCTGAAAAGTTTGCTTGACACTAATATCGAAGGAGCTAGACTGTGTTCCTTCGATCAGTTACCCACTCGAACCGACTTGACCACGTAGCTCAGTTGGTAGAGCATTGGACGGTGCATGAGGGTTCGATTCCAACCGCGGTCAAGCAAACTTTTCAGCTTGCCCGGTGTGGACATACCAATGATCAGTGGGACACATGCACTCAGAGACATCAAAAACATAACAAAATAAGGGGCGGACCATTAGAAATCCCGGGAGGGGGGGTATAAAATTTTTGCGGCACGAATTTTTTTTTCAGTCTCATGTCTCTGCAGGAATTTTTTTTAATGCATTTAACCTCTGCACGAATTTTTTTTCAAGACTACTTGTACTTTGCTGTTTGCTTGCACGATTTTTTTTCTCTGACGTAATGGCTGCACGAATTTTTTTTCCAGGCATTTTTCTTTGCACGAATTTTTTTTTTTGAATTTTCACCCCTCCTCCCGGGATTTCTAATGGTCCGTCCCTAAGTATGCTTTAGAAAAACTTTGAAATTTACCTGGTTAACGTATAGAAATAACCCTATTTGGTTTAAAGGGAAATGGCAGTTTCGTTTGAAAGAACATTTAAAACCATATATAAAACTCTGTTAGCGTTTTTTTCCATAGAAATATTAGACCTAGAATGCGTGCTTGGTCACGTGACCGGTGTCCAAATTGAAAACAAAAATGCCCTTATATAAATCCGACATGTTGAATTTGAGCAGGAGTGCAAACTACAAAGTATAAAACAAAGCTAAAACTAAGTTTTCATCGTCAAAACGCTTTGTCTTGCTGTCGACGTCTAATTTGTAGTTTGGGGATATATTTTGAAATATAAAGTTCTTTAAAGGCTCAAAGCAAATGTGCAGTTACTGACAAAAACGGTGAAAATTGTGCAGTCTTGTAAAAACAAAGTAGTTTCGCGTAAAAGCAAAGTAGTTTCGCGTAATAAAAAAGTAATATAAAAAAATATAAAAAAGTAGCAGTTGTGTAAGTTTAAAAAGATTACTAAACTCCATTTATATTATAAAACAGCCGAAATATTTTTAGAACATACCTTAGTATTGAGTTTGAGTTTGTCTTGATCTTTCGTGTTTTGTCATGGGAAGCCCATTGCAAACAAGCGGGTTTTATTAAATAAAAGCCGTAATTAAAACACTTGAGTATGCAATTAGCAATAAAATTGCTGTTAGAATCAATATCCTATATAGTAGGTACGTCACTAATTAATTATATAGTTAAATCACAGCGCGACCCGAGCACGCTACGTGCATGATTCTAGATAGATAGATTGATAGATAGATTATTTAATAAGATTTTACATCGCAGCCCAAAAAAGCTGAATTGCGTAAAATTTACAAAACATATAAATTAACTGTAGATTATAAAGTCTATAGACACATGCATATACATATACACACATACAAATACCAACAGTACACATATTTTCATACATATACATTACGATCTTTAAGGTTCAAGTTAGACTTATGTTATGAAAACAATTCATAGCAAACCTATTTCTTTAAATTATTTGACATTGCGGAAATATAAGAGTTTCTAAAACGATTGGTTCGTATAGTAGGACAATCAAACGCACGTTCTCTCCTCAGGTTGTAAGTGGGATTGTGTTTGGGTGGCAGTAGTTGATAAAGCTTGTGGTCTGGGTTGGATACTATTGTCTTGAAAAGTTTCTCACACAGTTTCTGACGCCTGTCTTTGAGAGAACTAATATTATGCTTGTTAAGATTGTTCGTATAAGATGACCCAGGAGATATAATTGAAAGCGCTCGCTTTTGAATGCGTTCAAGATCGTTACATAAATATGCGGGTAATGAGTGGTGGAATACAGGTGCACAATACTCGAGAACTGGTCTGATGCAAGTACAATAAAATTTTAAGATATGGTCAGCAGGAATGCTTGCACGCCTAAGCAAAATTAGGAAATACAAACGTTTGTTAGCTTTCTTCACGACATATAGTTGACATGGTCAATCCATTCCATGAGTTAGACACCATGACACCCAATATCTTGGCACTGCTGACTAGCTCGAGTTCTTTGGAATTGATGATGATGGTCTTAAGCTGATGTTTCACTTTCTTAAAGTCAACTATCATTTTCTTACACTTGTCTTCGTTCAACTGGAGCTTGTTGTTTTTACTCCATTTCTCTACATCAGACACTGCACTCTTCATTTGGCTTTGGCTATTTCTTGGGACAACCTCGGTTAATGTCGTGTCGTCTACGTACTTCCACGAGTGCCCTTCGGATGGTTTAAGGTCATTGATCATGAGAAGAAATAGCCATGGTCCTAATTTCGTATCCTGTGGAACTCCAGATGGAACTGCACCCCATTCGGAGAAGCAATCGTTGGACAGTTTGACGCGTTGCAGCCTATTCGATAAAAAGTCGCATACCCAGCGAACTACACTACGTGGAACATTCAGGGAAAGTATCTTTTTAACTAGGATCCGGTGATCGATGAGATCAAATGTCTAACAGCAATTTTATTGCTAATTGCATACTCAAGTGTTTTAATTACGGCTTAATTAATAAAACCCGCTTGTTTGGTCTTCTATGGTTTTGTTTTGGCTTGCACAACAACGTTGAACATGTATTTTCAAACAACGATTTCTGTATATATTCTGTTCAGAACTATTGCTTTTCGCAAAAAATCCCACTGGAATGGGTTTTTCTCCTTTAAAAAACTATTTTTTTCACATCGAGTCTCGATATAATTGTTTTTGCAAACTTGTTGAAAAAAAAAACAATTCGCGCACTCACTGCAACCGCGCGAAATTCCTTGCCGAAGGAGTCTGGGACTAGTCAAAATGCCCTTATAAATCCGCCATTTTGTGGAGACAACATTTTTACTGAGAAAAGATAGGAGCACGCATTCTATGTCTATTATTTCTATGTTTTTTCATATCTTGCTTACTTCTACAAATATTTTAATCGAACCGGAAATGAAATGCCCGCCATCTTGGATTTTTGTAGATATGCATGGTACGTCACAACAGGAGTCACGCAATATTTTTGTCCAGACAACCACTAATCATTTTGCACTCAAAATTATACTCTGTATGCCCTTGGAAATATCAAGATCAGTTGAAACCTTTAAAACATCTACCAATCAATACTTGGTCAGTAACGAATACTTTTATATGGTTAATCCCTGTTGTGACGTCACCAAAACTACCGTTAATGAAATAAAAAATTTATCCAAGATGGTGGACATCTCATTACTTCAAGTGAAAGTATTTCAAGAACTGTGCAAGATATGAAGAATCGGTAAAAGAAGTTATTAAATAGTTTCAAAAGTTCTTTCAAATGAGAAAATAAAAAATATATTGCCATTTCCCTTTAATTAATATTTCTGGTTAAATGTTCTGGTTTATATTTAACCTTTTTTCCTACTAGAGTCTTCAGTAATTCGACCAGACTTCCTGGTTAATTAAATTTACCAGACCATGCATCATGCTAGGTGGATAAATAACCAAGGATTCTGGTTAAATATATTGGCTAACATAGTTTAGCCATTTTAACAAGGACGTCCTGGTCAAATATAACCAGATTCCTGGTTATATTAATCAGATTCTGGTAGGAAGTGAGATAAAGTAACCAGGAAATTCAACCAGGAATATTAAAGGTGATGTAAAGCCCGTAATGTAAACAAACGCTTTGTTTACATTTTGAACTCAGTGCTACAGTTGTATAAAATACGATTAGATATATTATACTGAATTTTTAACACTCTTCTAGTTCGCTATGCTTGTAAATGAATACAGACTAGAGATTCAATTCAAGAAAGTTCTGAAGGTGCGAAATATTAACAACATTCCAATGGTCGGGTCCCGACCATTGGGGTGTAGGCCTGCGCAGAACGGACTTTACATCACCTTTAAGTTAACCCAAATAGGATTATTACTAGGTTAACCAAAGTTTTTTAGAGTATGAAAACATCACAGTGTAGTGTGGTTCTATATTTCCCAAACCATTCGGCTCGAGGTAACGAGACTGCATACTAACCTCCTTTTGGTGTTTTTTTTTGCACATTTCAAAGGGCTATATAATTTCACTTGCAT